ATATATATATTTGTTTTGTTTTGCAAACACCTAATTAAGATCATGAGTTTTATAATCAGTGCCAGGGTTAAAATTCTGGTTCTTCTACTTAAGAAGTGTATGGCTTTAGGAAAGTTGCTTTATGCCATGAGCCTCCATTTCCTTACAATTAAACAAGGTGTTATATGTCTCCATAGGAACTTTTCTTCCCCCTCATTCCTTGGAGAAGCTCATGAGCTAAAATGCCTAAAGTTCTTAGCATAGTACCTGGCATACCGTACACACTGGCATATTCTTTGTTGTTATTGCCACTGTTGCTGCTGCCAATGTTACGACCAGCCACATAGCACCAGATACCTAGGAGGGAAACTCAGTAGTTAAAACAATTAGAAGTAGAAATTTAAAGGAAGTCAGCTCTCCACAGGAGAAAAATCAGGTTGTCTTACCTGCCAAACACATATCAGAGAGTACATTCCAGTCTTTATTCAGCAAAATGACTCTTGAAACTTAGGTTCAAATGCCTTGGACGAGTGTGTTTGAAATGGCCATTGCATAACTCGGCTAAGGCTAAACTGGGATAAATTATTAGCATGGGCCTGGAACTGTGTTTCATTGTGCAATCAAGAGATTCTGTATGGTTTTACTTTTCATAGGGAAAAAATATCAAAAACTAGAACCAGAAAACATTTGGAATTTTTTTAGTCCACAGCCAGATCTTACAACATCAGTGATTTAAACCAGGCATAGAATATGAACTCAACTAGGCCTCTAATATTTCTGCATTACTTGGTTACAGTGAACAATGCAGTCACTGGCTGTTGTTGAAACTCTGCAGTATGCAAAGGCTAAAGGGCTTGCTAGACAACTGGAATCTCACTTTCACAGAATTACTCTGGCCTCCTGAATGCTGGAACAACTTAGTACTACAATGCTTAAGACTTGTGCACCATAAGTAAAAAATAAAAATATTAAATTTAATAGGCTCAGAGACTAAAATGAAAGCCACATTTCCTGCCAAAGAAACCAGCTAACAATGATGTGAAGCAAGCAGAGAGAAATGTATATTCACCCTGGTTTAAATTTCCAAGAAAATGATAGCAGAAGAATTATACATATAACTCAAATATACCATGAGCTGGGGCCTCCTTCCCAAAAGTCTTGAAGAAGTACACGCATTATGAACTGATTTTCAAAATGGTTACAATTCTTGCAGCACTGCTTTCCCTGAAACCTGAAGACACTTTATTTGCATCTTCTGTACTGCCTTTGCTAAAGACTCATTACGTGATGTAGTGTAGCTACAAACAAGCACCTGAAAAGAATGGGATCAAGGCAATATACAAAGCTTTGTCCCAGCAATCTGAATGCAGGTGTGAGAGACACAAACCAGGTGGCTAAAAGGCTTCTTTGTTTGAAGCTGTCAGTAGGAGGACCTGATTAATCTCATGCCCCATCCCTAAACTCCCTTTTAACTATGTCAAGACATCTCCTCACATCAGGAAGTCTACAATGACATGGCTATGTGCTAAGCTCAGTTAATGTGGTCCTAGGTTTAAACACTTCAGGTTGAAAGTGGATAATTGGTGGTAGTGGATTTTAAAAGCTCACACAGGTGCCTTTGAAAAGAGGTCAAAAGTCAAGTGCATCTCTCCTGAGAGTACTGGCGAGCCCTTCCTAAGGAGATCAAAATTCTTTTACCCAAACCCCCAGGGTCTTGTAAGAACTGTTATTAATTTAGTTCTGTATGTTCCAAATAAGGGAAAAACGATACCACATGTGTGTATTACCAGCAACCTGGGCATATTTGTTCCACAGAGGTAGATGTTAGATAGATTTTCACCTGGCACTTCTGGATTGCTAATGAAGTAATCCACTTTTTACCAGGGCAAAACTGGAGAGTTCAGGTCAGGGTAATGAACCTTGAAAACAGTGAAAAGCCTGAGGGAAAAAAGAATATAAACACAGGAATGTGTTGTCATATACTGAATGGATTGGTAAAACCAAAGCTGTGGAGTTTTGAAACTATGACACCTAAAAACTGATAATAATGCATGTATTTGTACTTCAAAAAAGTGCCTTATTAAGATTTTGTTATCTTTTATTAATATAAATTATTAGGTTGTATCATCATAACATGTTTTAAGTGTTTTTAAAAGCATCCACTCAACCATTAACTGGTATATTTCAAATTTCACTGGGAAAGTTTTCTAGTACAATTTGGAGGTCTTAGAGTGTCTATATTTTCTTTCCTCCATTTGTTAGATGTTTTATTCAACATGGCTACTATGCTTTGATACTTCAGATATGTTAGTAAGACAGGAACATATAATTAGGTAATTCTGGTTTTGTATATATCCAATTACAATTATTTGATATTATATTTTTGTGGCTGCATCTAAAAAGTTATATTTGTATGCCAGTGAGCTTTTAAACCTTTACACACACTCGTGAGGGTGCCTATCATTTTCTTTTAAAAGGCAGGGGATGAATGCTGCAAGGATGTGAAGAAATTGAAACCCTGTGCACTGCTTGCTGAAATGTAAAAGATAGTATGCAGCCACTATGGAAAGCAGCATGGCGATTCCTCAAAAAATTTAAACAGAATTACTCTATGATCCAATGATTTTATTTCAGGGTATCTCTTACCCAGAGAGTTGAAAGCAGGGACTGGAACTCATTACTCCACACCCACATTCATAGCAGCATTATTTGCAATAGCTAAAAGGTGGGAAGCAAGTGTCCACTGGAAAATATATACATAAACAAAATGTGTCTATACACTGGAATATTATTGTGAATTATAAATATTATAAATCATATTATTATAAAGAGAAGGGAATTCTAATATATGTTACAACATGCATGACTTTTGAAGGTATTCAATGAAAAAAAAAGCCAGGTATCAAGGGATAATTACTGTACAATTCCACTTATATGAGATACCTAGAGAAGTAAAAATCTTAGCGAAAGAAGTATAACAGCACTTTTCAGGAGCTACAGGAGGAGAAAATCAGGAATTATTGTTTAATGGGTAGAGTTTCAGCCATGGAAGAGGAAGAAATTTTGCAGATGGATGGTGGTAATGTTGCACAGCAATGTGAATGTACTTAATGGGCCTGGCTGTACACTTTAAAATTATTAAAATGGTACATTTTACATGGTGCATACTGTACAGCAATACATTGTTTAATTAAAATCCTTCACAGATACATCTGCACTCTAGGCTTGGATCTGCCTTAGGCACACTTCTTTAATTGACTGCACTTAAAATGTGATGCACTGTTACTAATGAAAAGAAAATGTGTTCCTTTCAGGACCTCAAAGAATCCAACTGGCTTGAGTAAACAGATACAAACAAGGGTGTAGCTGAAATTTTGAAACTGGTACACAAATTCTTGGAGCCACACTCTCTATACTTATAATTGAGAAAGAATGTCACTAAAATATTTAATAAAGATCCCAGGTTTGTCATAGGAGTTATGCCATAAAATTATTAATTTCACTTTTAAAAATGGGGAAAAGAGCAAAAAAATCTTTCAGAAATAGCACTTTAATTCCAGTTAACATTAAACATGCAGTCATAGCATGTAGCAAAACAAAGTTAATAGCATAAAAAATGTGACAGTTGATTAACTGGCATTAAACTGTACATGCTAAGCGTAGAGAAGGCATGCCAAGGCATGCTAGAAGTCTAGCTTCCAATTTGAACTCAGAATACAAAGGAAATGACTCTCAGATCTGAGTAGCTGTTTTAATACTTACACAAGTCCAAAAAATTCCAAGCTCAAATCCCAGGAACATAATTCCATTTATTCTACCTAAAGTGTTAACAGAGGACAGTTCAATTAACAGCATGTAGCATTTTTTTTAGAAGTTCTCAAAATCCCTTAACTTTCCAAGAATAGCTTAAATGATTCAATGGTATTAAGTCTGGAAAAAGATTCACTCTCTACCAAAAAAGGAGCTTGCCCTTGGGCAGCTCAGTGAAGACTTTGATTAATGGAGAAGGTATAAACTCCAGTGTGTTCACTGTTATTCCCAAATCTTCCACTATTGATTAATCACCACAGTTCACATGATTGCTTAGAATTAGTCACTACCAATTGTCACTACCAGTACAGTAATAGTATAATAACAACAACAATAATAATGGCCAGAAGGATTGGTTAGTCAGAGATTGAGTACTTATGCTTCATAGCTGCTGTCTTTTAATCAGGCTTGTAGTTATCCAGAGGCCCACCATACCATCAGTAAGTGCACACAGATCCTGGGGAGCAGGTGAATGGACCAGAGTGGTACAGCTGCAGGCAGGTCCCAGCCAGGGACCTGCCCCAATCCCAGAGGCCCAGGCACACCCACGCAAGCCAAAGGCTTAGAAAAGCGCTGCACAGGCACAAAAGCTTCAGCCAGTAGCCTGCCATATCATCAGCCACAGCCAAGGGCCCAACTGGAAAACAACTACACAGATGCACAAGCAACAGCCAGAGGCTTGCCCTGATACCATTGTTAAGTGCATGGAGACCCTAGCCAGAAGCCTACACAGACAACAGTAACTGGGGTACACAGCCCCCAGCCAAAGGTCTCCCAGACAATAGCTACATAGGGGCCCCAGCGAGAGGCACACCTAGATATCATCCAAAGTGTGCACAGGCCCACCAGAAGCCCACCCAGACAACAGGTCAGCTCAGGGATCCAGAAGGCCACCATTCTGAACCCAGGAATTGGTGTATTGGTGAGCAGCAGAGTAAAGGCTGTTCTGTAGCTTGCTGAGAATTGAAGACCACTGGGTGAGCAAAAATCACCTCAACAAAGGCACAACAGTCTGCATTTGTTAAAATCAGAAGACACATGAATAAGTCTCAAAACCAGACTTCCAGATCACATAAGGCAACCCCAAAGGGCAACGAGATGGAACAATCTGATACTCAACCACCTGGACACCCTGAATTGGGAATAAAGGAGGACTTGGAGAAAAAGAAATCAGAAATAATTTCTCAGATAACAGCAGAGATTGTGCCCACAATACAAGACATGATTAATAAATCTAGAGAGGACACAGATTAAAAAAAAAAAAAAAGAGGAGCTGAGAAACATGATAGAATCTCAACATAGGAAACAAATGAAATCCATAAAACAGATGCAAACAGATTTCCAGGAGATTAAAAACTCCACTGGAAGTTTATGCAGCAGAACAAGCGAATGCAAGGACAAAATTTCAGCTATAGAAGATAGGACTGCAATTAGTGACCAGGAAAAGAAAAATTTCTTAAAAATAGTAAGGGATCACAAGAAATAAATCCAGCAGATTCTAGATGATACAAAGAAGAATAACATAAGACTGATCAGAGTCAATGAAGAAATGAGAGAGTGGAGGCAACATAAAAAAATTTATTTTCACAGAAGTAAGGGAAGAAAACTTCCCAAGTAGGGGAAAAGAACCTGATATATAGATAAATGAGGCATATAGGACTCCAACTAGCTGTAAACACAAAGAATGTACACATAGGAATACAATAGTTAAG